TCTAGTTAATAGCAGGAAAAAGTGTAAATACTTATAACTCCAGTTGCTTCATTTGTATAAAATTTCCTCTCTTCCTATGATACTGACCTCTGTTTGTGCAGCTTTTCAACTCTTGTTGGGGATGTCTTTTCACTGTGTTTTGTAGGAGTTGAAAGCGGCATTTTTCTAGCTGTTATAATGCTAATGTATGAGTATATGTCACTTTGTTTTTTTTAAATAAGTTTAGTTCTGTTCTTGCAAAACGCGTTGTGCCAATTTACTGCAATGTGACTTTTATGGTTTGCTTTTGGTATAGTAAGTATACTGAAACGAAGTGTGGTGTTCTCACAGAACCTGTTGATGCAGAATGGTTGGAAAACACTGTCGTGAATGATATATGGAATTAAAGAATTTTGAACTGACTAAGTCATCTTTGTATAGACAGAACCATTCATAGGAAAAACCTGAGTCTGGTTTTAGTACTGTTTTGATTTTACTGCTTTGGCATTAACTTGGGGACCTTTAACTAGAATTTTAACAGAAGCCTGGTACAGTGTTTTAATTCCTGGAGGCATGAAAGGGAATAGAACAGGCACAAACCTCTCTGAAGAGTGTTTCTTGAAACACAGACTCACTCAAAGTATTATAACAACTTTTGTGTGGTATTTGAAAGAGGACAGCCAGGTTAGAAATTAGGATTTTAAGACTCTAAGACTACACATCAAACAATGCTGAGTTGAAGGGGTCCCACAAGGATCATCAAAGTCCCAATCCTGGCCCTGCACAGGACACCCCAAGAGACTCACCATGTGCCTGAGAAACTGTCCAAACGCTTCTTTAGCTCTGTCAGGCTGGTGCTGTCACCACTGCCCTGGGGAGCTGTTCCAGTGCCCAGCTCTCTGGGTGAAGAATCTTTACTGAATATCCAACCTAAACCTCCCCTGACACAACTTCAGGCCTTTTCCCCAGGACCTGTCACTGGTCACAGAGATCTGTGCCTGCCCCTCCTCTTCCCCTCATGAGTAAGTTGTAGACTGATGAAGTCTCATTTCAGTCTCCTCCAAGCTGAACAGTTCAAGTGGGCTCAGCTGCCACTCATACAGCTTCCCCTTAAGGCTCTTCACCATCCTCATTGCTCTCCTTTGGATAATCTTAACAGCTTCATGTCTTTCTTATATTGAGATGCCCAAACCAGCCCCCAGCACTCGAGGTGGGGCTGCCCCAGCTCAGAGCAGAGCAGGACAATCCCCTCCCTTGCCCCGCTGGTGATGCTGTGCCTGATGCCCCCCAGGACAGGGTTGTCCCTCCTGGCTGCCAGGGCACTGCTGGCTCATGTTCAGCTTTCCACTGACCAGGACCCTCAGGTCCCTTTCCCTGACACAGCTTCCCAGCATCTCATTTCCCAATCTGTCCATACATCCAGGGTTTCTTTATTGAACTTCATATGGTTGGTGGTTGTCCAGCCTTCCCACTTTATGACAGTCTCTGCCAGACCTCTCTGCTCTTTTGAGGGAGTCAACAGCTGCTCCATTGGCAAACTTACTATTCCTTCAAGTTCTGCATCTACGTTGTTAATAAAGAAGATGAAGAGCACAGAGCCAGGAATGGAGCCCTGTGGAACCCCAGCAGTGACAGGTCACCAGTCTGCTGTCACCTCATTCACTGAAACCCCCCATGCCCAACCCCACTTGCTCACCCATTCCCGGAGGCATTCGCTGCATTGTGCATAGGACACTTTTTTCCAGGAGGATACCGTGAAAGACAGTATTGAAAGCTTTACTGAAATCCAAAAAGATTATATGTTCTGTCTTCCCTTGAATAACCAGGTATTACCTTGTCATAAAAGGAAATTAGGTTGACAAGCAGGACCCTCCTGTCATGAAGCTGTGCTGGTTCTGACTGAAACCTGCATTGTCCTTCAGGTGTTTTCAAGAACTCACAGAATAACCTGCTCCATCATTTTACCAGTCAGTGAAATTATGACAGGTCTGTAGTTTTCAGGGTCATCCTTCTTGCCCTTCTTGAAAACTGGGACAATGTTAGAGGCAGATTTCAGTTGACTGGGACCTCTCCAAATTTCCAAAACCATTCAAAAATCATTGAGAGACCTTGCAGTGACATTAGACAGCTCTTTTGAGTACTCTTGGATGAATCCCATCAAACCCCAAACATTTTAAAACAGACCCAGCAGATCCTGGTCTGCAGGTCCACTGAGAGCTGATCATTCTCACGGTCCTGGTCCTCCAGCTCAGGACACTGGGACCCATACCCCATAACCCATGCTCAAGAGAGGCAAAGAAAGCATTAACATCTCTGACTTGTCTATGTCCCTGTTGGTGAGATGACCATCCTCATCCTGTAGATGAGGGGCAATGTCTTTTCTGCACTGCCTTTTGCTTTTGATATATTTAAACGCTTCAACCCCAGGTGAGCTTTGACCACAAATGTTCTCCCTACAGTGGGGAGCATCGTCTCCATATTCCTCCCCTGGCCTTGCTTCACCAAGCACACTCATGTTCTGCCTGGACTGAAAAAGAACATCCCTACCCAGCTAACCTGGCCTCCTGCTTTTCCAGGTTGGCTTCTGACATTTTGAGGTTGCCTGCTCCAGTGTTTGAATAGCTTTCAGATCTTGAAGACAATACCTGAAGTTAAATCTGAGAGTTCCATCGCCATGGCAGCTCCAGTATGAAACTGTCTTTGGCAGATGGCCACAATGACTGGCCTCCAGAGACTGTGACTTTTGGCAGTCTCTAGCACTTCATGACATGATGTTAAGGGGAATAACTGACATGGCTGTACAGCTTGACCATCAGATAAGGAGCAGTCTCATTTAGCTTACAAACAGAGGTTAGTTATTAAATGCTGGATTTTGTGGATTTCCACATTCCAGCTAGCCATAAGACGTACTTAGTGAAACATCTTATTGAATACATCTTATAAGATGTATTTATTGAAACCTCAAGGAACTCAACTTCCACTTTTACCCTTGAAAGATTTTCTCTGAAGATGTTACTGGAAATCCTCACATAGAGCATTTCTCAATTTTGACCATTTCTCAATTTTGACCATCTCTTTTTATCAAACCTTATACAAAAAAAAAGAAAAAGGAAAAAAAAAAGGCACTGTATATTTGACAAGGATACTGAATTGCCAGATACACCTAGTTTTCACACAAGTATTGGTAAGCTAACTCATCTGTCACAACTGTTTCAGAGATAATAGGTCACCCTGACACTGCTTCAAACCGCTAATTGAAATTGGATGCGGAGATGAAGGTCCTGATTGTGTGATGCAATCATTCTGTCCGTACAGCTGCTTGGGCTTTTGCTGCCTAAATTTACTGCCTAAATTTACTGCCAAATCAGAAATAACCTAAATTCACAAAGTCTGGTAAGACTGCAGAAAGGGTCATCTCACCTTGAAAGATGCCTATGTGGCCCTAAACTGTGTCTCTTGAAAGATACAAGCATAAGAGCTGAGACTGACTGGGGAGTCACTTAAAGTCTTACAAGGTATAAGACTGATTCTTTCTCAAGAAAGAAAATACAGCTATGTACAAAATTTAAAGCAGAGTTAACTTTAATAATAGCATCCCTACTTCAAGAATGAAGTTTTCTACAGCTTAAAGTATTGTGCAGCCCTGTTGAGTTGCTCATCATTCAAGTACACAGGGGACTCCTGTGGTAATGTTGCAAGTGCCTGGATAGCACTGGGAAGTGCTATAGCACTGTCTATATCAATCATGTTTTACTAACAGTAAAATCCGAGGGACTTCTCCTCTTCCTCAATACAAGAAAGAGAGTTTTATGTCACCTTGTCAGCAAGGCAAAAACTTTCTTTAGGGAGAGAATCTGCAGTACATTTGGGAAGTTTGAAATAACTTGTAAAGGATCATACTGCATAATCACTGAGTGTTTAATAAAAAAACATCAAATCCAAAAGCTAACCACAGATTCAGGTTAATGTTTTTGAGATTCAACTAGCAACCCAGAGACACGGGATCATTAAGAAGATCATTTTTCTCATTTTTTGTCATAAAATATGCCTGCTTTGTCATTTTCATCATGAAGACACTCATAGCATTTAATAAGTTGCTAAAACAAATATCCAGCTGTAGAGATTTAGCTACAAATGGGCCCATTATGCAATGCTGGATTTCACTAAGAGGACTCATTCAGAAAGACTTACCAAATCAAGACCAGACCCAGTTGTCCCATCACAGCTTCTGGGATCTTTAAAACCTATGACTTAGTGTAACCTTTTTGTTCCATCAGTTAAGTTTTATTTTATCAGTTAAGATGAATCACTGAATATGAAATAGGACCACATCATATAAACAGCAAGCTTCTAATATGATTCTTCTCTGTGCTGTAATTAAGCATTGAATGCTCTCAACTCCTGCACCCAGACTGCGACTAGCTTCTCTCGGCCCTACTGGAAGCATGGGACTGGCCCACTAAAATTTCTTTATCTGCTGGGACACCAATTTTTAAATATATTTGACCTTAACTTTTAATTAAGAAGATAAATGGGTTGTGTGAGAGACAGCATATTTGAGGCAAATCAATTTAATGAAAGAGTCAAGTCACATTTTGCCTTTTCTCTACATCTAAAGAAAAAAAATCCCCCCCCCCCCCAAAAAAAAACAAACCTACTGATTGCTGCTTTAGAACTCGAGCTAGCTCTCTGTATGATACCCAATCCAATACTGAAGAGGATTGGGAAGCCTGTATATTTATGGCAGACAGCTGAAGGAGGAGGAGATAGGGGAAAAATAAGGAGTAGCGACTTGGAGGAGGCACATACTGAAGTTGCAAAAGTTGCAACCAGAGCTGCATAATGAAGGACATTTAAAGCAGCTGCTGCAGCACCACAAAGCAGCCCAGCCCCAGCAGCTGGACTTTCACAGTTGTGATGGGCAGAGCACTCCCTTTTCTGCAGATTCCTGAAGGTTAAGAGAACTATCACCACCTGCTTTTACAAGTGGTTGGTTCATTAAAATACACAGGCCAACAGCTGGCTGGTTTACAAGACAGGAAAAAAAAATTTTATTGTTCCTAAAAAACAAATGGATTTATATTAGTATTTAAATATGACTTTATACACCATCAGAAAGCAGTAAGATAAGGGAATGATTAGTGGAGTCTTGCAAGTGCTTCAGATACCTTTGTTTCAAGACATCTAAGATAATCAAGTCAGCACTGGCAGATCTGCAGCTACAGGACCTGAACAGGATTCAGTTTGTCACTTTTCTGTATCAGAATTGTCAGAACAGGCTGTATTCCCCCAACCAGAACTAGCTGAAGTTTCCAAAAGAAAAGCAGATAGCACTAACTTTCCTAAACAACAAAGATCTCTGCTAACATCCTCTTAATTCCAGAAGACTTTAATAAAAAAGAATATCCTGTCTTGACAGATTTTCAGTTTAAAAAGAGATTAGGAACTACAAATTTGCCACATTTTAATAAAAAAAGCCCCATTACTTACAGTAACAGAACGATACTAAAAAAAAGGGCACAATGAACACTGCATACACTGTAAACAGTTGACAAAATTATTTAAAAGGCAAGATACAATTCAGTAGTGAATAATGGTGAAACGTAGTTTCCTCTTTATTGAATCAGTCCTCAGAGTCAGAAACCAGGGACAGCAGAAGCCTTCAGATGTGGGCTTTCATTTGCAGGAAAGACTGAAGAGTTCCAGCATTCTGAGCTTCTCTCTCAGAAAGCGTTCTCCTCCTTACAAATTCAGTACCATCCACCCTTGTTCAAATATGGCACTTGCCTAAGATTTCAAGGTAAGATAAATACAAATCATGTTCTCATGCTCAAATGTTTACAGAGCCTTGGATACACAGAGCTTCTCAAAATCATAGTTTCTTTCACCAGGCACTCTCAAACATCCACATTTTACAGTCCATAGCATCCAAACTACTGTATGTTTGCATGTTGCAAAAGTGTACTATATTTTTCCATGCCAACCTATCTATAAAATCATACTTACTCAGAAAAACACACGAGATAGACTTCAAGTGCAAAGGACTCCTTCCAGCTCACGGGAGATGATTACAAGCCTAACTTAAGATCCCACAGTATGCTCAAACCTCAAGCTTTCCAGTGGTTTTAACAGCCAGAGCAACAGATTCAACAATGTCATTCACTGAATTAATCCTGGCACAAGTCAGTTTCAGTTGAAAATCCCAGGATCAACGTAAGGATATGCAAGAAACTCCCCCAGTTTATTGCCTTCTGCATCGTAATGGAGCATCCGAAAACAGACATCACAGAAGAAACAAGGATCCTCTGGTGCCAGACTGTCTCTGTTGGTTACCCACCTGCAGGTTACAAAACACAAGTGTTTTTTTTACCAGTGCAACACACTCGTGGCAAACATCTTAACATTTTACTCAGGACTGGGGATGGCAGCAACAAACATCAGTAGTAATTTTATATACACAAGGTACTACCTATATTGCATATTTCCCATCTCACACATACAGCTCATTTTCAAACTCCACACTCCTTCCGTGTCAATCCCAGCAGCTACAGCAGCACTTCCTGAGAAACTCCTCAAACCTCTGTAGCTGGTACAGTGCATAAAAACAATAATAGGAATCGTCTGTCCACCCTGTGGCCATCTAAGTCATAAAAGATAAATATTTTTTTCCCCTTAATGCAAGAAACTATGAAATGGAGCAGACATGTACTGACCCAAGTTCCTCTGAGTAATCAAAACCATTTAGGAGTATAAAAGCAGGACTCAAATGATGCAGACAGGACAAGGTGAGGATTGCAGCACACTCCAGCAAGCACTGAAGTTAACATGAACACAACAAGTACAAAAAGGGCCTGCCATGTCACTGAGTAATTAATTTATGATCGCACTCAAGAGGCCACAACAGCTGAAGGCCTCCCTTGATTACAGATGCTATCTGCACAGATTACAACACACTGGACAGCCAGCCAAAGCAGCTCTGCTGTCTATGGTTTAGCATGCCCCCACTTAAGCTTAGTGCTTAATCCTGGTTTTAATTTAATGCATTTACATCACCTCTGGTAATGCCCTCCCCATCCCATCTTTCCCCCATATTGACCCTTTGGCTCCACCTCCCCTTATGGCCAAATGTTTCAGAGATTATAGGTCCTTCTGAAGGCATCCTCAGGGCTCTGCTAGGAGCACTAGGATGGACTCCCATCTCAAGGGGAATTGGCTCTTTGCCTGATTCCAGAGAAGTCTAAGGCCAAACAAGCAAGACAACAAAGACACAGTTGCTTGTGTCAAACAGAGGCTGAGAGCATAAGCTGTCCTGAGGGGAAAAAAACCAGGCAACCAGTGTTTCTGCAAATAAATCATGCAGATCTATAAAATCAGAGAGCCTAGCCTAGTTTTTAGAGAATTTTCTACTGTTTATTTGGAGTCTGTCTTGTATCTAAATTAACATCACTGAAGTGAATAAAGAGCACTAAATTAATATTTTAGAAAATTTTCCTTTAAATGCAGAAAATCACAAAGAGTTACTTCAAGAATAGCTGCAGAGCACACAGTTTTCAGGCAGAGCTTAGGAGTTTCCTGTGGGGAAAGTTAAATGCCTTTTAAAAAGCTCTAGATTTTTTTATATTAGAGTTGGACAGATCTATACCCGTGTAGATGCTAGATTAAACAAATGTGCTCTATGAATTCTGGTAAATGAATTTGAAACACATATCCTGCAAAGGAGGAAAATGCAGCATTTTCCCCCCAAAAGCAGGATTTTCGAAAGTAATTGATAAGATAGCCAAGCTCTTGCAAAAGAACATGAGCCAAATAATTAATCTCTTACTTATTTAGTTCTTTTGAAACTCCTGAATCAATTCCAAATGAACACTACCTTCAGGAAGCCTTTTCCTGGTTAGAGAGAGGTCAACTGCTTGAAGAGCAAAGATTATTAGCATTATGAAAAATATACAGAGCTTTGATTTTTACTATTGTTTTTGGAGTTAGTAGCAGCACCTAGAAAGACTTAACTAAGATGACAATAGCATCAAGAATGTAGCATACCTTGCTGTATACATGTTGCACACAAAGCATTTTCTGGTACATAACCAATGCTTCTTGATCAGCAAGGGATATAAAGTCCTATCCAGACAGTCATCATGATGAACAAGCCTTGAGGGAAATAAATAAATATAACACATACAATAAAGATATTGCCATATTGAAATTTATCTGAACATAAACATGGACATTGAAAATAAGGTATAATTTAAAGTCTCATGCAAACTATGACTAGACTTCTGCTTAACATTTCTTAACACAGATTAAGATCTGGATATAGACTGTTAGTTGCACCATATGTGGATTTTATGGTCACAAGTAAATTCAGCTTGTGCAGTAACCCAGAAATCTTCAGACCATCTCCTTTCTGTGGTCTTTTTAAAGGTTTTATCTCCTATACAGACTAACAAACTTTTGTCAGGTGAATGCTCAGATCATCCATGTGCAACATCTATGCTTTTATCTGGGTTATGTTCCCTTTGGAAAGCACCATGTATTATCAATACATTGATACATCAGGCTCCTGGGAACAGAAAATGACCTGTCACCCACTACAAGACAACCACAGGAGTGGTCTCGCTTTTTTGCAATGAGCAAAATCTACACCATAGTTCTATGGTTGATGTGGCTGCCACCTCACAGTACTATCACCCTCTCTGTCTCTTCCTGGCCTATCCACCTCAACCCACTATTTCCACTCCTCTATTCTCTTTTCAGCTCCTGCTCCTTAGCTTCAAGTTCAAACTAACAGTCCAGTTGAGTCTAGTCACAGCCTACAACATTCTGCTCTCTGGTATTCCAGAATCAGTATGTAAATCTGTCACACATTGGCAAAAACAAAAACAAAAAGCAAGGAAGATTACTCTCCTTCCTTCAGATACTGCCATGTATATGAAAGAAAAATTTAAGCTCTGCAGAAGGCAGCAGAATAATTTTAAAACAAGTAAGTCAGTCTAACAAACATTCAGCATTTAATATCTGAAGTTTGTCCAGAGAAGGCTTACTTTCATTTGCCTAAGGACTCTCTTATTCTTATAAAGAATAGTAACTTACCTTATATCTGTGATTATAATGATGTGTTCACAGTTCCCTTGGTGGCAGTAAAGGTATGGAAAGCCAATTTTGAGGTATAAATCATTAAAAACATAATCCTCCATCTTAACAGACCGAAGATTCTCATAGCCTCTGTCATGAGATTCTGACCACTCTATAATTGTCCTGAAAATAGAAAGGCCATCAGCACAGCAAAGCTATGAACTGTGAATGCAGAGAAAAAGATGCCCTGGGGACATGCAAAGCTCTTCACTGCGACATGGTTAAATGATGGAAATTAAAACGGTTCAAAACATTTGGTAATAATTTAAGGTGAGATACAGCACTATTACAACACTGTAGAACTGTTCACTGTTATTGTGGAACATCTGCCTGTCATTCCTCACCAGGCAGCTTGCTGAGGAGTTTTAGTCAGTGTATGCTCCTGATGGCACCCATCCAGGTCAGAGTGTTCGCAGCACAATACTTCTTAACTACTCCAATAATTCAAGTTACTAGCAGGTCATTTTGTCCCCTTGGTCAATGACTTCATTTCAAAGAATTAAAAAGCTTTTTTTTTTTAGTTTTGTTTTTTTAAGGAGAAATACAAAGCTGACAGGTGCAGTTACATTTCCAAAATTTAGCACTGGAAGGGCGCTGGCCACTGTAAATTTCTTTTTGGCTTTTCAGCACACTCCTACACACAAGGCATCTAACTCTGCAAGCTGTGTATCCTATGACAAGCCCATCTGTGAAGAACATTGTTGTTGACAGACACAAGAAGTAAAATATTAATTTCCCTGAATCACATCAAAGTCTGGCAGAACAACAGGGTCCAATGGGGTCAGCTCTTCCATACCAGCCATTTTAAACATTTTGCTCTCCTAAATCTCACTACTGTATCAGCAAGACCATACTTCCTTAAAATATCAGATTTCCTTTCTGATCAGTCATACAGACCCCATGTTGACTTTACCATGAAGACACTCAAGACTGAGCAGAACAACCACTGCCACACAGCTGAGCCTGTTGTCTTTCTGACCCATTTTCTACCTCACAGGCAAGTCTTTTGGTTGCCATCACAAGCAGGGAAGATACTTAAAAACCCAGTACAAAATGGCACCTGTCACTCTACACAGAAATCCCATCTCAACAGAGCAAAAAAGGATTTGCAGGTTAAATGGGTTAATGGGTTCATACTCCTTTCAAAAGGGAAGTGAATGGAAGGAAGAAGTAGAGCAAGTAAAGTTAAACTTCTCTGTAAAAACCAATTAATCATGGAAAAACAGTAGGAAAAGTCCATTCCAGCTTAATACCCTAGATATTCCAGTATCTGTCACACCACAAGTCATAAACAAAATAAAACAAATTTTATGTTCCTTAAGGTTTTCCAAATACTGTACCTGCTCAGATCTCTGCACTCTGGGTATCTTTTATCATTATAGAAGATGCCTTCAAAATAGAAGAAGGCAGATTTGTAGAGATCCTGAGAGACAGAGAGAGAGGTCTCCATCAGTGATATGAAAGAATAAATACCTTAAAAAAGAACATGCCAAAAATCCAAGCATTTTAGGTATCTAAAGTATATTAAGAGACCTCATTCTATAGGTGTCAAAGAAAAGCTCTGCTTTGATTGTAGATGCTGATGTGACAGCTAGGCTCATATCATATGACTGCAAACTACGCAGCTACTGTGCTGATATTGTTCTCAAGGCATTACAGGTTACTTTAATGCTCTTCTCTTATTTCTGTCCCCATCATAGCAGTTACGGACTTCTACAAAAACACAAAACACAGGCATCACTGCACAAATTCCGTAATTTCAAGGCACTGACTTTAAAAAAGAGTAATATTTTTAAAAATTAGCAAGATGCAGTGTGTTTACTTTGGATGGCTACCAGACACCTGTCCAGCTGCTCTCTCACTCCTCTTTCTTAACAGCATTGGGCAAACAAAGTAACACAGGCAAGCTCATGGGCTCAGATAAAGGCAGTTTAATGATAAAAATCAAAGGCTGCATGCAGAAGCAAAGTAAAAAAAAAAAAGGAGACTTATTCTCTTTTTCCCATCAGCAGATGATGGCCAGGCAGTGGAATAAGCTGCTCAGGGAACTGATGAAATCACCATCCCTGGGAATGTTGTAAAGGTGTATGAATGTGGCACTTGGAGATAAGGTTCAGAGAACATAGTGATGGGAAGTTAATGTTTAGCTCAGCTTGTGGAGCTCAGTTGGCATCTGCGGGTATGAGTGCCATAAATTGTTAATTTTCTTTGACGGAAGAGAATGTTACAAATGGACTGTCTACATGTGATAAGCTTTGTAATTAAGGAATAATTTTGAAGGATGATAGATTTTCTTGTGAGACCCTAGAAGTGAGGTGATTGGACCTTCCAGAATTGCCTGTCACCTTTTATACAGATGTGACCAGGAAGTGCTATCATGTGTAGCTGTGCATATGTGAGCATGCGTGCAGGGGACAAGGCTTCAATTATTCTGTCATTTCAGTAAGAAGCACTTTGTGCTCCGATCAAATGCACAGAGTTAACTTGGTATGGAGTTAACTTGCTTCACAGCAGCCCCTGTGCATGCTCTGCATTTTTGACAAGGGGGAGTTGATAATACACCAGTGTTTTGGCTACTGCTGAGCAGTGCTTGCACAGCTTCAAGGCTGTCTCTCCAAGTCTCCCCAAGACCAGTGGGCTGGGGCTGGGTGAGAGGCTGAGAGGAAATGTAGCTGGTACAACTGATGCAAAGAGACCCAAAAAGAACATCCCACATCATATGGTGCTGTGCTCAGCAGTGAGAGCGGGAGGGAAAGAGGAAGGGGCGATTCACAGTGAAAGCATTTGTCTTCCAAAGCAGCTACCATGCATGCTGAGGCCTCAGGAAATCATTGGAATAGAATCATAGAATTATTAAGGTTGTAAAAAACTTTTAAGATCATAAAGTACAACCATTAACCTAGCACTGCCATGTTCACCACTAAACTATGTCCCAGGTGCCACATCCACACATTTTTGAACACTTTAATAGCTGATGACGCCACAACTTCCCTGGGTAGCTTGTTCCAATGTCTGATCATCCTAGCCGTGAAGAAATATTTCCTAATATCCAATCTAAACCTTTTTTGGTGCAATTGGAGGCTGTTTCCTCTAATCCTGTTTCTTGTTACCCAGGAGAACTGGCCCCATACCTGGCTATACTTGCCTCACCCTCCTTTCAGATAGCTGTAGAGAGTGATAATGTCTCTCTTGAGCCTCCTTTTCTCCCTTGGCCACTCTTCAAGGACTCAATATAGATTTTCCCTATTTATTCTAAATGAGAAAACCATGGACAACCAGGCACTCTCCATCACCAGACCAGTCTGGGGATGCTCATTTGTGACCAGAGGTCTCTTTGAGCTATTAACTCTAGGCTGTCAAAACACAGGTAAAGAAGACACTGGGACCAAAGACAGGACTTCTCAGATGACCTGCATGAAGACACAGTGGTAGGAATGTGTTTTGCATTCAGACTCTTTGATTCACTTCTGCCTGTTACCTCTGATCAGCCTGGTGGCTGATACACCAGATGATCCTGTTGCCAGCCAAAGGAATCTTAACAGCCCAGAGTAATGGGCCAACAAGAACTTGTTGAGGTTAAGCAAGAATTGCAAGGTTTTGCCCCTGGGGATAAACAAGCTGGTGCTCCACTGTATGCTGAGGGCCATTCAGCTGGACAGCAGCTAGGCAAAAAGAACCTAGGGATCCCGGCAGATCCCAAATTGAACATGAGGCAACAACATGTCCTTGCAGCAAAGACAGCAGATGGAGCTGATGGGATCCTGCACTGCATTAGATAAAATACCACCAGCAGGTTAAGGGAGGTGATCCTTCAGTACTCCACAGAACTAGGGAGGCCACACCTAAATCCTGTCTTCAGTTCTTGGATGCTCAGTATAAGAGAGACATGGACATATTGGAGAAAGAATACCACAAGGGCCATGATGATGAAGGGACTGCAGCATCTCTCCTAAAATGAGTGGCTGAGAGAGCTGTGAGTTAGAACCCTGAAGAGAAAGCTCAGGTAGGGGAATCTTATTAACATACACAATACTTCTAAGGAGGGTGCAAGGAGGATGGAGCCAGCCTCATTTTGAGTGAGAGGTTCAGGGTCAATAAGCACAAACTGAAACATATGCAGTTCCCCTGAACCTCAAGAAACACTTCTTTACTGACACAGGTGACTGAACACTGACACAGATTGTGCAGGGAGATTGTGTAACATCCATTCTTGGAGATATGCAAAAAATGTCTGGACATGGTCATGGACAGCCAGCTGTAGGTGGCCTTGCTTGAGCAGAGGGAGTAGACCAGATGACCTCCACAAGTCTCTTTCAACCTCAACCATTCTGTGATATGACATATATTACATGTCATACAATGTATGATAGAAGTGATTCAATTTCAGTTTTTTCAACTAGATGACTTGTTTTGTTCTTATGCAGAAAACATGTAGCAACTTTGGAAGAGAAGAATAATCTTCATCCCTACGTTTGATCAGGATCCAGTTGCAAATAACAAAGTACAGTGGGATGGTCTATCTTATCATTATTAGTGGGATTAAGCTATTACCTCTGGTGTTTCAGCGCAAAATAAAATCAGTCCACAGGAATACATCAATACAAAACTCACTGCTTGTGTAGAAACTTCCTAGCAGTAGCAATAATGATGTTTTTCTCGATATTGCACAAAACAGATCATCTTGGTAATGCCACTATGAGGTATTTACTTGCAGTGCAACAAACAGGCAGAACCAATGGAGCTGAATTTAGTGCTGAAGACAAAACAACGAGACAAAACTCTGCCTCCCTCTCTGTTTTCAAGACTCCTACACATGTAGAGGGTTCCACACAGAAGTTTTACCTTGCTGATGTGCTCTGGTGCTTGATCTGGCTGACTGCTGAACTCACCACCTATCTGGAGGTCACTGACGCAGGAAATCGAGTCTCTCAGCTCAGTGAGCTTCTGGCTGCCCAATACAAGGACTGTTTGGTAGGGTTTGTGATCCTTATGCTACAAAGAGCACAGCATACAAACTTCAGATAAATTATAACTTGTCAGCATCAGCACTGCTCTTCATTTGACAGCTTAAGGTCATTACTGGCAGCATCTGGCTTATCACTTCTCTGAAGAGCATCTTGCCACGGCCTCTCTTATGACTGACACTTAATAGTTTTGTTCAGAAACTCAAAAGTTACATTCTCCATCAGAAAGTGCAGAAAAGACAGAAAGTCAGAGCTCACTTATACCAAATCCAGAAAGAGTACCTTAATTTTCATGTATTTGAGCTTTCTGTAAAATAAATTAACAACTGAATAATTATTGTATGAGTTTTGTTATGTAAACCATTAACTGAATGAAAGCTAGATGCTGCAAGAGCCTTATGAAATTACCAGCGTTGAAGAGTTTATAAAGTCTTCACTAGACTCACTGATTTTAGCAGCTTGGGAGAGCACCTGAATAGGAAAGACTCAGAATCCAACCCAGAGAATTTCATACCAACCTTCTGAAATATAACAGGATAAAAGATGTTCAGGGTTAAAAGTAGTTCTCCCTCCTCAACTAGATCTGTTGGATTGTCTGGCCTCTTTCCAGTCGCAAGTGACTCCTGGAAAAACATACAAACACACACACGCATGTATGCATTATATTGGCAACCATATACATATATATACACATACACACACACACACACACATATATATGTAAAATAAACCCTGCATGACAGTCTGAGAAATGCTAACTCATTTTTGACTTCATGTAACCTTCTGAATTGAAAACGGACTACTTCCTTCAAGGTAGAAAGGTGAGAAACTTCTCCAATTATTGATTTCAAGCATGCTCCTTCATTTCTCAGCTTTGTTACAAGACAGCTGGCTGCTCCTTCGCTATTGACAGGCCCCACATAAAGGAATTAGAGGCTGCTGTCATTCTGCCTTCATGGAACCCAGCTGCTACCAACTTTCACCACTTAAGGCTTTGAAATGCTCTTTGAATGCTTTCATATAAGAAAGGGGATTGCAACCCTTAACTTGGGAACCACTAACCTAGAAAATATACACAAAATGAAATATAGGAAAATTACAGTCAGTGCAACACTTCCTCTTATTATGGAAGCTAGACATAGCTGGAGGCCAGAATTTCTCCAAAATCCAAGCCCAAAACCCAGCACTGCCCTTGCCACAGGACTGTGTTTTATAAAATAAGTATATGTATTCCTACATTTCCATCCTGCTTTGTATTTAAGACACAGCCCAGCAGTGAGAATGAGGGAGAATACTTTTCTGTGGCAGTTTCCTCCCTTTCCAACAAATCAAGAGAGAATACTGCCTGCACAAACACCTCCCACCAGCATGGAGTATTCATCAGATTCAGTAACGGGAACTTGTACTCCTGTGAGACTCAGATATATTTGTGTTCTCTGCCTTGCATCAGCCTTCTTCATGTGACACATTCCTTGAGCAGTTTCTTACTGCTCTCCTCCTGTATGAAGGCATCATGGTCCCAACCACAGAATCACAGCTCTGACACAGCTTGCTCAAAGAATGCAATGAATGACCATGTGCTCATTCTTCAGAGACAGCAGTAAGACACCATTCATTGAATCCCTTTATGAAAGTTTCTGTTGCTAGTATTTTCTCAGATAATCCCCAGGCTAAGAGTCCAGCAGAGTAGTTGCATCATGTTTACAAAATGTGCCTAGGTCTCTGAACAGCTGAAACATGATAACTCAGGACAGACCAGGAAACCTCAAGCGGAAAAACAAGTCTAGTAGTCACATGAGGTTCTTTCCTCACTACACTTCTGTTCCTAATTTTTACAGCAGTTCACGGCTTGTTCAAGCCATGTACTCCAGCACCTCAGTGTCCCTGAAAGAGTTCAAAGAATGTGTATATGTGGTGCTTAGGGACACAGTTTAGTGGTGGATCTGGCAGTGTTACAGTAATGGTTGGGGTCAACAATCCTAAAGGTCTTTTAACCTTAATGATTCTATGAACATTTATGAATTGAGGTTTTGTTGTTTAATACTTCAATGTTGTCAAGAAATCATTAAAAAAATGTATTAAGCATAGTTAAAAAATTCCAGTAAGACTTACTGGAGGGGCTGATGACTACACTCTTGGCTCCTGGCAGTTCAGAATGGCTGAAAAACTTGGGTTACGAAGCTCAGAATTAGGAATTTACCACCACTGTGCTGCTACTGTCCCTTCTTTCAGCCCTACTGAAACTAGCTAATAATCATTCATGCACTGAAGCTTAGTTTCCAACACTGGACTCCAGGAGCAAAGCCATCACACATTTTGTCTAGCTCTATGTCTAGCTGTAAGTTCACGGCACTTAAAAAAAGCAGTCATCTAGTGGTAACGAGCTGGAGTTGCTTCTTAAATACATCCAGTATTAACAAAAAGAGCAGACTTCCTGTCCTATCTTTTTATAAAATGTCTTTATCCTTAATTACTACTTACAAATTTGTATCTGCAAACATTTACAGCGTACATTTCATAGTGGTGAATAAAAAGCAACCAGAAGTTGGATTTTGGATGTCTTGACTACCTCTAAGATGACAGGCAACTTACCATCTCATAGGTAAGAGTTTCCTGTCTGCAAGCCCGATCCACAATAATTGTTTCTTCTCTCCTTTCTAAGGCCTTCTTTCTAATTCTGAAGGGTAGGAACACAATACAAAATTTCATTCAACAATTTCCATGTAGAATTTCAAGAATTTCATACTTTTAAATGACACAAACTACTACAAAGCAGTTTTCAAAGAACAGGATTCTTGTCTGTCTTAATGGGACAGACTGACTTAAAATACTCATCTCCTGACTCTCATAAAACCTGATAGGGCACAGGCCAGCTTGTGCACTTCAGCTGGTGTTTTTTTCCCCCCTTAACTGCAAATGACAGATTGTTTGTGAGTAATTTTACACTCAAAATAAAAAATAGAAAAATGTTGTCTGAAGAGGATGTCCTAAGACAAAACACTTTGTGACCTTCGAGGAAGCTATTTCAACAATTCTTTCCACTTCAAAAAAAACTGAACTCATGTGCAAGCAAAACACAAGTTAAAAAACAACACATAAATATTCTTTCTCAGCCCCATATCATAGACACTTTAGAAAAATCCGAAAACAAATCTTCATTATCATTTCCAGAAGAAAGAGTATCAAAAGTAGAATACTGACTAAAATACATTTAACCACTGCATGAGCACCTAATCCTTAACATCCAGGACAAGTTTACTTATCCTCTAGACCCTCTCAAGGATCTTCAGTAACAATCAGGCTTAACACTGATCACAGTCTAAACACATTGCTTTACATTAATGATATGTAGTACAGCAAAGGCCTGAACTGGCCAAGTTTGCCAGTTGATAGAAACCTTACCTATATTGGTTAACCTCTGACATGCACCAGCAGTATCAGTGAATTCCATGAACAAAACAAAATTCAACAAAACAGAGTGGGTTCATATAAAGAGGTTATCTGGTTACAGCATCAATACTTACAGTCTGGCTGTTACAGTATGACTGTGTTACTTAGAGGTATGAGACAGGTTTCTTTGGAGGAACCTCACACACATGATTATCAGACAGCCCCTGCACATGCCAAATTTAGGCATTACTTCAGAAGCACCTAGGTCCAGAAATCCTTTTCCAATAAGAAAGATGGCATATTCTGTATATCTTAATAAAAATTCCTAAGCAACATTCAAGCAGAAGACTCATACCAATGGCCCCCTCATAAGCTGGTGTTTCTGCCCTTATGGTATTTTTGCATGGTGCTCCAGAAAGCATTGCCTATGAAGGGAATAAGCAGCCAGCCATACTTCCATGCTGATTTTCCACCCCACCCCAAATAAGAGTACCATGAGAGCACTCTAATGGCATACCGAAGAGTGAGCAGACTGCTATCTTCAGGAATAACATCTGGGTCCTCTTCCTTTTCAGAAGACATTAACATATCAATGCTAGAACAATAAACAAATAACAGATAGAATCACAAAGACATAGAACAGTTTGGTTAGAAGGGACCTTACAAGATCATCTAGCTCCATTCCCCCCAGAAGCATTGGCATGGACACTTTTCACTGGACCAGGTTGCTCAGGGGCACATCCAACCTTCTCTAACTTCCAGGGATGGAACATCCACAAATTCTCTGGGCAACCTGTTCCAGTGCCTCACCACTCTACAAAGTAAACAATTTCTTCTTGATATTTAATCTAAATCTAGAGCTGTCCTCTTTGGACAAAGCAGTGATTTCTCACAGTATGTGTAGAAGTACGAGAGGCAGGAACCCAGTTTCATACCTGGTTCCATTTATGAATTCCCATTTCAGGTTGTGCACTGCAGCACACCAGAATCAGAGGAATCATCATATGCACATCCCTTCCTCTGTAGTCCTTCCCAGAAGCATTTTGCATTAATCACAATAGAATTTTATCCAGCTTAAAGATAGTCTGAGGAAAAAAACATATTTAAAACAGAGAACTGCTTTGAATGAGACTTGGCTGCTTTTGTCTCTTCTCTTTTGCAGTCTAAAAGGCAGGGCTTACTCCAGTGTCTAAGTCCACCTGCAGTTTGAATCCCAGCAAACTCTTGCACAAACCCATCTCTTTATCGGACAAAACTACAACTGGTGAAGTTCAGGAAAACGTTTTGGACCATACTATTTATCCTCAATAACATTAATGATTCCATTATATTATTCATTCCCTATGTCAACAATAATATCACTGCAGTAATGAATAACCCTTTGGAGTGGAACTGCATAGGAGTACAAAGTAATTGAGAAACAGAAGTCTGGAATCAACTGTTATAAGCTGACAATAAGCAAAAGTCAGAGAAAAAATTTTGATTGTGGACAGATGGCTTTCTTCTGATGAGCCAATAAAGTCACTCTGTATTGACAGTAATATGAATTTACTATTGTTTAGTTATTTTCCGTTCAGCAACAAAGTTTTAAACTTTCTGTTTCAGAGTTTTCACCTCAAACAGAAAATATTTTTTTTAAGTTACTGAGAAAATGGGATTTTTTCAGAAACACCATTTTAAAAGGAACTTTACAGTAATGAGCCACAACCTCCTGGAAACAGAATGAACCTTGTGCTTAGATTCCCACTTGAGGAAGTGGAGGCAGAGACAACCAAGTGAATCCTGTGTCAAATGTAGACTGAAACACAGCTGAGAAATAGTAATTTAACTAACAGAAAGATGGAGAACAGCACTTTGGAGAATACAGTTCAACCATTAACCTTTTGAATACGGTTGTTCTCCACGTGGCATAGAGCTGTGTTACAAGCAGTCTGCATAATAAAGTAAAGGATATCCCCTGACAGATAAATCAACTCACAACTGACCCTTTCTGTAAAACTGACAACGTGACCAAATTATTTATCCAAAGTGTTCAGCACATGGATAAGTGATCCCATTCACCACAGAGACCAAGTCACTAGATTAAGTACCATTTTGAGGAAATGACTACATATTCATGACCACAGGTATTATTTGCAGGATCTGAAAATGTCTACTACCTACCATTGTGAAGTTTCACTTGCATCAAAAGTGACAGTTTCCCATATCACTTCTGTGCCAGAACCCACCAATAATATGTCAGATCTTACCAACAATACTTGTGCTTTTCTTTCTTCCTATAGCCCTAGGTGGGATTTCTGACTGTGCTATCCACACCATGACCATTAATTGCCTGCTTCAGGGAAAAAACTAATATCCCCAGAAAACCTGCTACAAGCAGACACTATGTAAAATCATTGTCATTAAAACTGCTTCTTCTTTTTCCTTGTAAGGACTGAAAGGTATCTAGTGTAAAGAGATACTGACATTGAACCCCTGACAAGTTCCACGGAAGCTTGCATGCACTGGTACAGTCACTTCTCACTTCTGAAAAGTCAGAAACCATCAATTTCTAAAGGTAAGCAGAGCACCTTTTTTAGTATTAAAACTCATTCTAATAATTAATTACATGTGTTTTTGTATCACATATACCGAAGTCTTGAAAGGCTTTGCTGTGTGGCCTTACACACAGGCCATGCTGGAGCTCCCACTGTGTAACTCCACTGCTGCCTGTGGAACCACATAAGCAATGCTTGGTCCATGGTCCTGAGGAAATCAAGCTTTACAAACACGAAGTATATGCTGACCCTCCAGAAATGAAGGCTAAGTCAATGTCAGACACTTAAGACACAGAAGCGCATGCAAGACAGAGTTTGCGCTAGGAACACCCTCACTCCTGACTGCCACAAGACTGGGATCCTGCTGTGTCCCCACAGAGACTGTTCCTGCATGCACAACAAATTCATTCAGTTGCACAGTTGCAACAGAGAGGAAAACACTGGCCATGCTGTTTAATTGAAACCAAGGTGAAGTACAGGACACTAATGAGGAACAATAGTTGAAAGTTTGAAAAAAGCCACATGCAAAGCGTTATCTGAATTTATGTCCCCCATGGAGATATTTTAAGGTGACCAGAAACAAAAATGCAAAAGAAACTCTCTGGAAATGTAGACTTGGAAACAGACTACCAATGAAGCACTTAATCACTGTGACTTTACCTTTCCCAGAATATTCTAGCAGCACAATGAGTTTCCTCTTTTAGAAATTCAAAGATACTTTAGCATTTGGCCTGATACTTTATAATAAGCAGATACAATGTCCATATTACTCTTTATATTGCACATATTTTAAAGGTACTACTTTCATCACCTTTGAGACACTAATACCACGAGACGCTAAATACTAATACGTTAAGACGTTAATGCTAGCTTAATGCAGCTTTATAACACATCCCAGGAGATATTTACAACTACCCCTTCCAATAAAACTAGAAGGTGAATTAGGGCTGAAGTTGAATAAGGTACCTGCAAGCCTCACCTCTCCTGACCTACCTAAAATCCACAGTGATTTGAGGCTTAGCCTGCCCTACGCATGCACACAATAAATGACACGGAAGACAAAACAGAATAACATAACTTAGCATCTCCAACATTCAACAACTTCAGTCACTCCAGCACCAATTATGAATAATACTTGTTTGCTCACAGACTCCTGAGGCACTTGAACAAAACCTAGAATTTTTCTCTTTTGACACCTTGGTAAAGAGAATTACTTACGGAATCTTCCAGATAAAGACACAATTTTACACCTGTTTATGCTCTGATGAAAACACAAGCAATCCCTATAATGATTATCAGCATACAACTTGATATAACTTGGAACAGGCAAGGCATTCTTACTGAGTCAAATGCAAGTGGGTGAAGACACCAATTTTTTCCTGCATTCTGTTTGTAGGAATCTATTACAGGAAGAAAATACAGTAAAATAATAATAATAAAACAAAAACAAACAAGCATAGCAACAACAAAAAATGAACCAACAAATAAAAAAATCGCAACAAAACAAAACAAAACAAAACCCCCCAAAATACCGAAAAAAACCCCCAAAAACCAAATCAAACAAACCCTAAAGCAGCCAAACAAAAAAAATCCCACAATAACCACATTGCACTGGGGTGCCCAAAGAGTTATTAAAATAAAATAATTTGAACATGATACATTTGAATGTATTGTATTTCAAGGAAATTTTATTTCAATGTATTCAGTTCAATAACATTTCTCCTCACCAGAAAACTCTACATTGTCAGGAATACTTAAAGGTCACTGTGTCACTACTCTAAAAAAAATTTAATGACAGCTACTGAAAAACTTCATCCTGAATCCATGAAAGATTCTTTTAATCTAACACTATTTTAAAAATAGATGTAGGAGTGTCCACATCTTCCTATCTTTCTTCTGCCCAAAGAAAACCTTCTTAATTTGTGAGAAGCTTCCTCAGTTTAGAGTCACAAAAATCTGTGTTTATTTCCATTATGCGTTCATTTCGGCACTTGTAAAGTTATATTTACACCAGTAATACACGTGATCTCAGGATATTATAAAACAGATCTTGGTGTACCCCACTGTTCTCATCTCTGCTCAAGGGAGGAATATGAGCAGCTCAGAGCAGGTGAGTAGAAGTGATCAGAGGTACCAGCTGGAGGTTGGTCAATGTTAAGGAGAGATTCAAGAGGCTAGTGCTCCTTAATTTAAAAGCAAAAGCACATGGAGATTACGGATTGGGATTCCAGCCTGAAGAGGGGAAAGGTCACACCAGGATGTGCAGGTTTAGCTTCCTGCCAAGCCAACAAAAGTCTGCTAGATGATCAGTTTTCTCCCTGTCATAGATCACCAGTCTTTTTCCTCTTTCCTAAACAACCACTGCTGACAGTACACTCAGCCTCAAACAGACAGCACTGCTCTGTAACACCAGCAAATGCAGACAGCAAGTGCAATACAGCAGGTGTAAACTGAAGAAAGCAGAACAGAAGAAAAAAGCAGAAGGAATGTGGAGAAAAATAAACAAACAACAGGAAAAGGTCCTTGGAATTCAAATGAAAACAGCAACACACAGGATCAGGCAATAGAGTTGCCAGAGAATAAGGAGCACAGGAGAAATCAGGGACCATCTACACTGGAAGAGCTTACAGAGTAATTGCCATAGTTTCTGCCACACCACAATACAGAATACATTTTTTTTTAAACCAACATCATCGCCTATTTTTACTAAGTGTAATAATGGTAAAAATTTATGCTAGTCACCAGAACTGTGACAGCTGAAGCACAAAACTATACAGATAGAATCAGAACTCTGGCATGTTTTCCTTAATGATGGACTACAGATAAATTACCAACCGTGATGCTTTCTACAGGAATTACCGCCTGAAATCAGACCTTTCAACAGGTGAAGAACAATTCTTACTATCCATGTGACCTGAAAGCCTTCCAGCCATAGCGTGTTAGATGATGCTGCTGGTTCAGCACCCACAAAGCACTTAAATGGCTCTGACTTCACCACTACCCTGAGAAAAACAAGTCAGTGGAAGCTAAGGACCAAGAGACACTCAACAGGTATTGTCAGCTACCTGAACTACTCTAAATGATTTTAAGGGATTCAGACTAAAAGAGTGGAAATAGTATTAGGAAGAAATGCTGTGACAGTGTTGAGGCACTGGAACAGGCTGCCCAGAGAAACTGTGGAAGCCCATCCCTAGAAGTGTTCAAGGCCAGGCTGGATGGGGCTTTGAGCTTTGAGCAACCTGGTCTAGTGAAAGGTGTAGCTGTCCATGGCAGAGTGATTGGAACAGGATGATCTTTAAAGTCCCTTCCAACCCAAACCATTCTGTGATTTTATGATTCTTTGTTAATACAAACAGATGCCTGGCTTATTTCTTCATATAAGGTATATGTTTCATTGTGCAACTGGGGCCTCCTAAAACCATGAAGATGTGCAGGTACCTTTAAGTACTTAACCAGTACCAGGTTGCTAAAAGTCTACCCATGTAACTTTAAGCATCAAACTGTTCAAATTCACGTGTGTAATGAAGTTTCCCCTACTGGAGCACTATTCTCCAGAAAAATTGTTTGTCTTTCTGTGTATCTGGCCTCCAGAGATGTTGGTGACCAATTCTTCATAAGGAACTTTACTACAGGATAACGAGTATTCAGTACAAATGAAAAAGGGGCAACTTTAGATTTGGTATTGGGAAGAAATTCTTTACTGTGAGTGTGGTGAGGCACCGGAACAGGTTGTCCAGAGAAGCTGTGGATGCTAGAACTCTGGCAGTGTGCAAGGCCAGACTGGATGGAGCTCTAAGCTATCTGGTCTAGTGAAATGTGTCCCTGGACATGGCATGGGGCTATATGCCTTTAAGGTCCATTCCAACCCCCTGACAGTCTTTGACTCTGTAATTACCCGGGAACTAGAAACAAACGTTTCACAGGCCCGGAAGAAGCTGCTCTGAAGTGGTTTTGCCCGAGCACCTTCCGCCTCTCTTGAAGAAGCACCGCGGCATCCGGCGACAGCACCAGCCACCTCCCCCGCACCAGCGCCGAGCGAGGCCACCGGCATCTCCCTCGCACCGGAGCCGCAAATCCCGGCCTGGAGACAGCCGGGCTTCCCCACCTGCAGACGGCGCGCAGGTCGGCCGCCGTGCCCGGTACGCAGCCCAGCGCCGCCGCCACGTCCGCGTCCGCCTCCTCCGCCGCCTCCTCCTCCAGCGAGAGGTCG